ACGCACCCCCCTCCAAACTCACTGGAGGTCCCTGCAAGGGACGCGGGGGTAGCCTTGGCCAAGCGTATGCGGGGCCCCCCGGGGACGCTGACCGCGTGCCCGTCCACCTCCTTGCGTGTGTCCGGAACGACGGCGTGGAACTTACCCCACCGCACCCTGGCCTTGCCGTCGCTGCGGGTGGGGATTGGGGCAGTGCACGAAGACCATTACGGGCAGGCTGACAGGCTTGCCGGCTGACAGGCGAGCGAGAGCCTTGCGAATCCCAGAGCCGCCTCCCGGCAGGCTTCCCGTCCTGACCCTGCCACCCACCCGGAGAAGCCGGGCGGCCGCACGATGGGCACGAAGCGGTGACCCCATCGCACGTGCTGCCCCACATTGTAGGTGCGCTGGCGCAGGACGTTGTCTGTGGAGCGCGTGCGGTAGCCGTTCATCTGGTGTAAGGGTGGCGTGATGGGGTTGAAGCGGTTGAGAGCGGGTGGTGCCGGCCAGAGCCTGGCATGTGGTGTGGCCGTGAGGCCACGGCGAGTATCGAATCGCAGCTCAGCCAGAAGCATAGGCACTCTCGGTACGCATGCTTCACGAGGAGAAGGCCGGCAGGCCTAAGGCCTCTCCCCCCTTGCTCCGTCGCCAGGGCACCCCAACAGCAGCCTGGGCAAGCCACCCCACGCTGTGGGGGCAGGCCCCTCTGATACCTCCCCCACCCACCCCAAAGAATGCCCCTCCCCGCGCTCCCTCACTATGACCACGATCTCGGAGCCAAGGTCCGAGTCCACGCCCCCCGGCTCCAACCAGTTGGCCAGCGGCGACCTGGCGTCGATGACGTGGCGCACATCCACGGGCAGCCGCAGGTTCAGGCGGTCCGCGCCGGTGTTGTACCCGACCTGTCATTTTGGTGGAGTTGGCAATGTATTCAGCACAGCACGGGCGACAAGGGCCTGCCCCGACTGCACCTCACAACCTCCCCCCAGTCCTGGTCCCCAGCACAACCCACCGCCGTCCTTTCCTCCACGATATCAACCCCCCCAAACCAACATAACTCACATCCAGGCGGTGCTGCGTGAAGGTGGGCAGCAGCGGGTCGCGCTGCTGGTCCTCCAGCCTGCACCAGCGGTAGAGGATGAAGTGCACCACCACCTCCACCATCTGATTGGGGTAGGTGTCGCCCACGCGCGCCACCAGCTCCAGCGCGCCTCCCCGCGTCCAGCTCACGCACAGGCTGTCCGACACAACCAGCGTGTTCTCGCCCAGCAGCGGGTAGGGCACGGTCTTCAGCGCACGGCTGACCACGGCGTGCGAGACCTCCGAGGCCGGCGCGGACGGCACGTCCTTCTGCCGCCGCAGGTCGTGGAAGCTGTGCGAGGTTGTTTGGAGGGGGTGGGTGGGTTGGGGAAGATGGACGGGAGCGTCCTCGCCTTGTAAAGAGGGGTTCAGGGTGCGCCCCCGAACAGGGACATGATGGTGTGCAGCAGGAGCAATGGACTGAATCTGCACTGTGGCTGCATGGACAGGGAACTCTTGCAGGTCTCTGCAATCCAGAGGATCGTAGGTGCCGAAGCAGCATGACCCACACATGCTATCGGACCCCCAGAGTCTGACGACCCGGCATCCCACACCAGCTCACTGCGTGAGGTCGACACCATAGTGCTTGTTGGTTTCCGAGCCCTCGGGCCGCATGATGATGGGCAGGAACTGCTCGCCCCAGTGCAGCTCGTGCGGCAGGTAGGAGCGGCGAGCCATGAAGGGGTTGCCAAACTGAAGGGTTTGAAGGGGGAGAGTGGTGAGGGGAGAGGGATCTAGGACACAGTCGGAGCGCAAAGGCACAGGGACGCACGGGCTGCAGCAGCAAACGAGTAGGCGCAAGCATGGCGGGTCCTGCTGCTCTTGGCACGGAGCACGGGGTCCGCTGCCTGTAGTCTGGTGTACATAGTCTCCAGCCGCCACCCTGGCTGTCCACCAAATGGTGAAGGTGCTCCCAGCTGAAGGCCTCGCCAGGTCCCAGCTCGGCATGATCTGATCCCACCCGCCGGGACCCATCCCTTCAAACGCTGTGCCATTCCCTGCCCCTTTCCAGTCTGCCCGACCATTCGACCCGCCAGCTCACCTCTGTGGTTCCCTCAAAAGTCACCACGATCTCCGCATTCAGGCTGGTCAGGCTGTCGTGGGTGTGGCCGCAGAGGGGTGACCGCTCGTCGATGGTGTGCTCAATGATGAGGGGCAGCAGCAGCATGCCGTCGATATATCCGATGTCCAGCGCCTCGCAACGTACTGCATGGAGGCATGGGTACGTTTGGGTGTGTATTGTATGGGATGGGGAACCATCTAGGTTCAGGTGAGCACGCCGTCCCAAGCAGCAGCCGTGCGCCCGCTCGAGAGCGCTCCAGGGACAACAGCGGCTGAGAGCACCTGGCCCCATGCAGAATCGACTTGCAGCAACCCTGAAGACACCAATCTCAGCGAAGGATCCCTTCCCCCGACTGCGCACGTCCCGGCCCCCACCTGGAATCTTCTCGCCCTCGGCTGTCACCCGGCCGGAGCCCCAGGTGTATAAGAAGGTCTTGACATGAGGTTCCACTACCTACGAGATCAGTGGCAGGTTTTGAGGGTACTGCCAGGATGCAAGCTAGGTGCCCACAAGGGCTGACGGCATCGTAGGCCAAGCATGCGCGCCCAATCAAGCCCAGCCCCGCATGGAGGGGCGCCACACCCAACCCAATGCCCCAGCAACCCCTCGTCGCCAAACCCACAGACCTGTGTGCGTCGGATGTCGGCGATGCGGAACATGAGCTTCAGGGTGCCGTCCCGCCTGGCTATGGACGCGCGGTCGCTCATGTAGATGGAGCGGCCGCGGTAGTGCGGGTGCGAGATGCGCGCAAACATGATGCCAACGACCATGGCGCCGAGGAGGACCGAGAGAATGCCCTGGACCACAATCATGACGGAGACGGGCCAGCAGTTCTGAGGACCCGTATTGCCATATCCTGCGCGAGGGGGGGAATGGGCGGTCAGGTGGGTGGAGGTTGGGCATGAGTGAATGGCTGGGCGAGCGACACACAGGCGGGAATCGACGAGGTGGGGAGATGGACTGAGGTAAAATTGGGAAGGCATCAGGAAAAGATGGAGGGTGCCAGGCAGGGAAAGGGGCTTGGTGATGGCTCCTATGTGTAAACGTCTCTGTGAGCTTCCTGAGCGCTGGTAGCGCCCGTGCCTCGTTCCATAAGCCACCAGGCTCTGTACGTCCCCCAGCAGGCTGTCTTGACTGCCCCCCCCTCCCCCCGGGGGGGAAGGACTCCTACACCACAGCGAAATCCATGCACCCACGCACCTACAGTCATCTGCGTCACCACGGCAAACACCCAGGCCTCCACGAAGCTGTCGGCGCCGTAGATGCAGCCCGGCTTGAATCGGACCAGCAGGTAGTAGAGGGAACCCCAGCTCCAGAAGAAGAGCTGGTAGATGATGAAGAAGGCGAGGATCAACACCCGCGTCTTGTTTTGGACGATGGAGATGAACGAGTCTGCGTCGAGGGAGCGAGGCATAGAACTCAGGGGCGCTGAGAGCTCCATTTCTTCTCAGAGCGAACGACAAGCTCCTTGCTTTGTAGGAATTCCTTGAGCATCCCTGTGGCTATGAGGGAAAAGGAGCAAGCAGTACGTAGGAGACAACCCATGCTGCAGCTGTGCGCGCCTCAGGTGCTCACCTCGGATCCAGAGGTGTAGGTTGATGTTGCTGCCACTGAAAACAACCCGTGAACGACCGGCGTGCCTGCAGCAGGGAGATGGAGATGAGGTGCAGCTGTGCTTCAGGTGACCAGGAGTCCCAGAGAGGTCGCCACTTCCCAGGACAGTGCCTCGGAAAACCTGACCGGGCTTCGCCACTGCGCCCGTCATGTAAGGACCCTGGGCGCGGGGTGAGTACCCATGAAACCCCACTGCACAGCACCACCCTGAACTTCTCACCTCCCGGCCTCCACCAGGGAGGGCAGCTGCCTGCGATCCCTCTCGATCTGCTCCTGTCCGGTCCCATTGTTGTTGGCTACATTGCGACGCAGACCCTTGCAGAGCAGGATGTCGCGGAGCGCTAACAATCTGTCCCTGTGATGCAAGGTCGCGATTCAATGTCCCGTGAGTGCATGGGCGTTCCTGGGAAGAGCATGTATACCCCAGGTTGGGGGTTTGGAGGGCCAGCACAGGGCTGCACCGGACGCTGGCCTGGCCTGTCTCCCTGCTGCTGCCTCTACCACCCCTGCCTCCCACTCGCCCCCCGGATGCCAGCACCAGCGCTCACTTGAAGCTTGGAGACGACAGGCGTCTGGGGGCATAGCCCGTGTCTTCCTGCGGCCATGCCCTGCTGAGCAGAGACCTCAAGGCGGAGCCCCCAGTCCGACTGGTGCTGACGTCGTTCTGACGCGAGGCTTCGTCGGAGGGAACGACTGTCGTCTCCATCTGGCGTCAGCTGGCCAGCAGCGAGACGGTCAGATCATCCTCAGCCATGTCGAGGAATGGGTGTGGTTTGCCGCCAGGGCCCACGCTCTAAGACACGAGTACCAGCTCACGAACCCCCTTACGGAATGAAATTGACAGGATGTATTCTAATGATACCTTACGGAGGTCGTTGCTGTTTGTGATCACCCCACCAGCGTGCCTTCACATGTTGAGCTGGAATCCTTCGTCGTGACCGATCTGAGTGTCTTGGTCGACGGAGTCAAAGCAGGCTCGAGGGATTCTTCGCTGCAGGATCGCCGGGAAGCTTGCGCAGGACCCATATTTCTGCAGCATTGCACCATGAGCACACATACCTAGACACGATTTCGTGTGTCTCTGAGACACGCATGGGCTGGGAGCTCACCAGACTGCGCTGCCCAAGTTGAGGCTCATGCAGCCGCTCCCATCTAGGCATGATGTCCATCGCGCAGTTCATCGACTCAATGGGGGAACACACCCTCTGATGCAGCGTCCCGTGCCGACCTGCCGCCACGTTGGCTGCTGACTGCCTGTGCCATGGGCGACGGCATAGGCCGAGCACTGGCCGGCGAAGCTGGGTACCAGCGCCTGATCCGCCTGGTAGGCCGCGCCTTCTATGCGGGGGAGTGTCCCCCCCCCGTCGCCATCGACCCAGACGCCCTCCTGCCCCCCACCGTGTCCCGCTTCAGCAAGGTGGGTGGGTGAGGGACTTGACCCCCTCGCCTCCCTGCCCCACTGCCCCCTTGCCCTCCTCCCTGCCTCTCGCCAAGGTGAACGCCATGGGATTCCCCCCCCCGCTCCAGTTCTCCTTCGCGGGGCTGGGGGTGCTGCTGCTGGACTACCTGGCCACGCGCGCGGACGGGTACTGCGACGAGGTCACGGTGTGCGAGGACACGCGTCTGTCCCAGAAGCAGGTCCGCCGCGCCCTCAAGTACCTGGAGGATGCGGGCCTGGTGCGCTGCGACGTGGTCAAGTACAGCCTGGCCAGGGACAAGGAGCCGTCCGACGACCCGGAGGTCGCCGCGCGGCGGCGCGTGGAGACCCACGCCTTCTGGGCGGTGGACTACCCGCGCGTGAAGGATGCGCTGCGCCTGCGCCTAGCCCTCATGCGCGAGGCACTGCGCAAGCAGGTGTGTGTGCGCCGGGTTGGGCAGGCGCCTGCGTGGGTCGGGCGGGCACGCTGCGTGGGTCGGGCGGGCACGCTGCGTGGAGGAAGAGGTGAATCGGAGGCCTGGCTGCAGTTGCAGTCCCTACCCAAGGATGAGGGCCGGCGGCAGCGTGATTCCCTCCTGTGTGACCCGCTGTTGGGCTGGCCTCGCCGCCTCAGCGTCCCCTCTGCAGAGCCCCCCTCGCCGTGCCACTGCAGGCCGAAGACACAGACGTACTACAGCAGTAAATCTGTCCGCGCTGCGGCGCGCAGGCCTCCTCGCTGGACGCCGTGCGGCTGCTGGACCCGAGAACGGTGCGCGCGAGGAATGGGGGGGGAGGGGGTTGGGGGGGGGGCCAATGGTGTATCGAAGCGATGTTCGAGTGGAGGAGTCCGCCTTGGCATGCCCAGGGAATGGAGCGTCTGTGCGCATCGGGGCAAGCCAGGTCGTTTCAGGGAAGCACCAGCAGACAGGGGAGCCCGGATATGATGGCGCAAGCCGAACCCGGCCACACCCAAAGCTCCCACCCCACCGCACCCCTCTACCAATCCTGCAGGGCACGTTCTTGTGCGAGGAGTGTGGCGCCGAGCTGGAGCAGCGGGCGGCCGGCGACTCTCAGGCCGGCGGCCCTGGGGGATCTGCAGCCGGGAACAAAGCGCGGCAGGCGGCGGCCAAGGCGCTGCAGGCGGCGTTTGAGCGGCAGCTGGCCCCGCTCATAGAGCAGCTGGAGAGGATAAAGGACGCGGACCCCCCGGACCCCGGCAGTCTGCAGGTGACCACGCGGCGGGGCGATCGGATGTTGAAGGGCAGGGGTGTGGAGGCGGCCAGCATTCTTTCAAACAGGGGTGCAGGAGGCGGGTACGAGAGGATCTTTGGCCCCCAAGGACCGGCACCACATGCCACTGCGGAGGCGCACTGCCTTGTTTTCCCCTCCTTCCTCCCCATCCCAGCTGTTTCATCAGGTTCCTGACCGTGCACTCTGTCTGCATGCTCTCCTCGCCACTTTGGACACACACACACACACACCGCCCCTCCCCAATGGTATACCAGGACTGGTTCCTGGCCCAGCGCGACGCAGCCCAGCGGCGCAAGGCCAGCCTGGAGGGGGCGCGGCGCCGCGCGGCGGGGGCGGGCGGCGCGGGCGCGGGCGAGGACGGCGCCGGCGACCTCTCCGTCGACCAATTCATGGACCTGGTGGATGTGGCCAGCGTGGAGGTGGGTCTTTCCTTCTCAGTGACTGACCAACGGCAGGCTGCGTGGGGGGGGTGGTGCCGGAGCAATCGAGCTGTTCAGGGGCGGGCCCCTGGGTGGGTGTCGGCATCGATTGAATCCCGGTCCTGGTCCGGCGCAAGTCTTCCTCGGCTACGCTTCCACAAAGCCGCAATACCCATACCTACATGGGCTCGGGATCCATCGGGGCTGTACCTCGATGGGTTTTCCTGCCGTGGCCCTGCCGGAGATCTTTTACCCTGGCTCAGCACGTCTACCAAGGAACAACCTGAACCCCCACCCTCCGTCCCCTCCAGGTGAAGATCGGCCAGGGCAGCAGCGCCACCGGGCCGGGCCAGGCGCTCCTCCCAGGCAAGGAGCTGCCGGCATGGTTCCGCAGGCCCGAGCAGGAGGGCGCCGGCGCCGACGCCGCCACGGCGTCGGCCGCTGCGGAGGACGAGGCGCGCAGGCGCCAGATCGAGGCGGCCTACGTCGCTCAGTACATGGAGTCTGTCAGGCTGGCCGGGCTGGCGGGGCGGGGCGGACGTCGGCGCCTTGGCCGCAGGAGACTCTCCAGGTGACACATGGTGGCGACCAGTGTTGCTGCATACTTGGGTCGCACATCCCCAACATGCCTGGCACAGGGATGCAGGGGCCCTCCCCTCAAGCTCCACCCCCAGTCATACCGACAGATGCAAAGCGGGTGAAGCTGGAAGATGTGAAAGGCGAAGCGGTGGCAAAGGCAGAAGCGGAGGCCAACGATGCGGAGGAGGCTGCCGCTGCAGTGCAGGCCGACTTTGACTGGGAGGACATGTGACGGTGGTGCAGGCGTCGGCTTCCCTCTTCTGGCCATGGAAGGGGGCCGCACCACTGAACGGCGTGGGCCTGTAAGTCTGTCCACAGGAGCTGGCAGTGGGCAGAAGGGCAACCGCATGTGTGAAAGGCATGCAATTATGTGATGTGCGTGCTGCGGCTCGAAACATCTCCCACGGGCATACTGATCGGGGAGCGGAGCTCCTTACTTCTCGCACCACAAGCATGCACGCATCCTGTGACAAATCTATACGATGGGGAAGGACGCCAAGAAGTCGAAAAAGTCCAAGCGATCCAAGGAGAAGAAGGAGAAACGCAGGCGTCGTGACTCTAGTGACGACTCGAGTTCCGACGAGGATGCACGCAAGCAGAACAAGAACGAGAAGCTGGTGGGTGCGGGCATTATATTGCGTGTTATGGTGTCAGGCGCAGGGTCGCCTGCACTTGTTTGGTTGTGGGGAGCAGCGCTTCCGTGGTGGAGTCCAGGCCTGCTGCCTGGTGTGGAGATGCAGCAGTTACTCACCTTGCCAGTCTGTCCCCCTTCTCGCGCCAACAGATCCAGAGAATTGTGGAGCATCAGAAGAAGCACAAGAAGGTGGACTCGGAGTACACGGATGAGGCCAATCCCTTCGGCGACCCAAACTTCTCCAAGCCCTTTGTGTGGGGCAAGAAGATCGAGAAGCAGATTGCTGAGGGCGTGGATGTCCGGGAAATGTCGGCCAAGGCCGAGGCCAAGAGGCATCAGAGCCGGCTGGTGGGTTGAGGACCGAGTATGGGTTTTGGTTGGGGCATTGGCACCTACTCCACCAGTGCGGAGGCAGAGGGGCGTGTGGGAGGCTCCGTCGGGGGCCGCAGTGCCCGAATAGTGTAGCGGTCCCAATGCAAGGGGCGCATCTTCACTGTTTACAAGATGCGGATTGGATGCTGGTTGTCCCTGCCTCTCAGTTTCATTGCCTTGCACGAAGCAACCGGATATGCAGCTGCATCCCGCCCATACGGATAAGCTCTGCACTTTCGCAGGACATTGCCTCACCTCCCCTGCCCCCACTCCTCCCCCCCCCCCACCCCGACAGGAGGAGGCGGAGAAGGTGAAGAAGCGGCAGGAGCAGCGCGAGGCGGAGCGCGAGGCGATGCAGGCGGAGCTGGAGATGATCCAGCGCGAGCGAGCCGCCGCGGAGGCGGTGGAGCTGGAGCGAAAGCAGGAGGACTTCCTGCTGGAGCAGTCCAAGATGCGGTCCCAGGCCCGGCTGGCGGAGGGGCGGCCACGCGCCGTGGATGCCCTTGCCGCCCTGGTGTACGACCTGCCCGGCGTCGACCCCGCCGAGCTGGACCCGGGGTCGCTGCTGTACGGCCCCGGCGCCACGCTGGGCCTGCTGCGCGAGCTGCGCGCCGACGCGGCCGCCTTCCAGGAGCTGGACCGCGTGGACGCGGGCCGGGCGGCCTTCTGGGCGGCGCTGGAGACGGTGGTGGGGGCGGGGCTGGCCGAGGCGCAGCGGGAGGAGGAGGTCGACCGGGCCAAGGCGCGGGGGGAGCCCACCCCCGCGCAGTATGCGGTGCGCGAAGCCGGCTGGCACGGGTCCATCGAGGCCGACGTCAGGGCCATGCTCGCAGGTGAGGGGGCAGGTTTTGACATGGCGCAGGCGCTGAGGGGTTGATGCGCTCACAGGTGCAATCATGATGGGGTCTGATGGGGACTCGACGCGCACTCCCCCCCTTGCCACGCCCGGCCTGCGTCGCTCATCACCCTTGGAAGTGCCACCCCACCCAGCCTACACGCATGCGCATGCCTGACGCCGCTCCCAAACACGATCTCGGCAGGCAAGACGCTGCGGGAGCTGGGGGACCTGGAGGCCCGCATCGGTGAGCAGCTGGACTCGGGCGAGGCTGCCGACCCGGAGTACTGGCAGGCCGTGCTGACGCGGCTGAGCGTGGAGCGCGCCCGCGCCTTCCTGCGCGAGTTCCACGCCGAAAAGGTGCGGCGCAGCACCGCCGCCATGCTGGCGGAGGTGGACGTCCCCGCGGCCATGGGCTGGGACGGCGCCGCCCAGGAGGAGGGAGGAGGAAGGCGCGGGGGGTGAGGGCGGCGAGCGGGGCGCGGTCTGCGGCCCGGGTCGCTCGCAGAGCCCAGCCTCGCCGGGCGGGCGCGCCGAGGGCGGCGCGCCCGGCGCCGAGCCGGCCCTGGACCCGGAGCTCGAGGTGCTGGCGGCCGTGGACGGCGGGGCTGCAGCCCGTGAGGCCCATCCCGGCGGCAAGCCACCGGTGGCCGGCAGCACTACGACGCCGGCCGCACCGCCGCCGCGCGTCGCGCCGCGGCTCGCGGCAGTGCAGCGGCCGTCCGGCGGGGAGCCCCGCCCCTGGCAGGACGTTCGGGCCGCAGAGGAGCTGGCGGGCACGGCGCCGCCCGCCGGACCCGGCCCGTACAGCCCGCGCGCGATGGACCGCGCGGCTCTGGCCGGGCGTGAGGCGGAGGTGGTGCCCGAGGAGGACGACGCAGCGCTGCTGGCCGCGCTGCGCGCGCAGGTGCGGCATCGCGAGGCGGTGCGCCTGGCGGCTGCGACGGCCGCGGCGGCCGTCGGCGGCGACGCGCTGGGCTCCGGTGGCGACGCCGACCGCCTGTACCGCCAGATGGTGGCGGACCCGCGCGCCGCGGCGGGGCTGCTGGGCGCCACCAACCCGCTGCTGCGCTACGTGGCCGACGCCGCGCCGCAGGCCGGCGAGCAGGCCATGCGGTCGGGGCGGGAGCCGGGCGCCAGCGGCGCGGGAGACACGGCGGAGGAGGCGCGCCTGCGCGCCGCCGCCGGCGCGGCCATGGGCGACCTGGGCACCTCGGGCGACGCGCCCTTTGGTGGCGAGGTGGCGCTGGAGAGCCAGGCGTACTGGTGGCACGAGAAGTACCGCCCGCGCCGGCCCAAGTACTTCAATCGCGTGCACACGGGGTACGAGTGGAACAAGTACAACCAGACGCATTACGATGGTGACAACCCGCCGCCCAAGAGCGTGCAGGTGGGTGAGGGGTGTTGCTGCGGGTGGGGTGCTTTGATAATTTTTTTGGGGGGGTCTGTTCATTCATGGCCTGGCATCTTGCGAGCATTGGGGATGCCTCTCATAGACTGAGGTGGGGAACTGAAAGGCAGGCCAGTGTGTGTGTGTGTGTGTGAGTGTGTGTGTGTGTTAGTGCCGTGCGACACGCCGAGCATATTCCCTCCTTGCCCATCCAAAATGACAGGGCTACAAGTTCAACATCTTCTACCCGGACCTCATCGACAAGTCCAAGTCGCCGGTGTACAAGATCGAGAAGGACCCCAACGCCGTGGCGGGGGAGACCTGCATCCTGCGCTTCACAGCGGGTCCGCCGTACGAGGACATCGCCTTCCGAATCGTCAACAAGGACTGGTGCGCACTTTTGGGGTGTTTGTCAA